GTGTTTTGTGTGTGTGTGTGTGTGTGTGTGTGTGTGTGTGTGTGTGTTGTGTGTGAGTGTGTGTGTGTGTGGTGTGTATGTGTGAGTGTGTGTGTGTGTGTTGTGTGTGTGTGTATATATATGTTTATATGTGTTGTGTGTATGTGTGTGTGTTTATATGTGATGTGTGTGTGTGTGAGAGTGTGTGTGTATATGTTTATATGTGTTGTGTGTGTGTGTGTGTGTTTATATGTGATGTGTGTGTGTGTGTGTGTGTGTGAGAGTGTGTGAGAGTGTGTGTGTATATGTTTATATGTGTTGTGTGTGCTTATATGTGATGTGTGTGTGTGTGTGTGTGTGTGTGTGAGAGTGTGTGAGAGTGTGTGTGTATATGTTTATATGTGTTGTGTGTGTGTGTGTGTGTGTTTATATGTGATGTGTGTGTGTGTGTACCTGTCGGTTCCCAGCAGCCGGAATGTCTTCTTGTGGTCAGTGATCTCCTGCAGGATCTCTGATGACCCCTGACCTCTCCTCTGCCAGCCGTGTTTCCAGACGGCGATCAGTGTCTTCTCGTGATACACTGAGAGCACAGAGTTTGTGGGTTGTGATGGAGTTCTTGTTCGTGAAAAACACACGAGACACACATGAACACACTCACCCACGGCGTCGATGTCTAACTTAAAGGAGACGTCCGTCAGGTGTCTGTGACATTTAGCTGATCCATCCAGAGCAACCGTATGAACAGAGTCTGATGACCGACAGAAAAACATCATCATCACAGCACCATGACATCTTCTGTAGTGTTTGTCTATAAGGGGGCCTATGAGTGTGTGTGGAACGTTCCATTGACAGACGTTATGTAGGAAACTTTCTGTGGCCATTAATGGAAGGTTCTGGGTTGTTTACATTAACTCTGTCATGTTCATTACCACAGACAATACTTTCGAAAACAAGTGTGAAATGTGTTTATATGTGCATTCAGTCAGCAACAAAAAGCACAAAAATACATATATAATTTTCTTTAAATACATTTTATATAATAATGAGTCAAGAATGAAAGATTATACACACACAAACAGTATATATTCCAGACACAGTCACATGATACTCACTGTCAATCAGAACTAGAAGTGTGTCGCTGTCCAGCTGATTCAACTGAACTCTGTCAGCGCAGCGGTTCTCTGAGAAACACACACACACACACGGAGAGAGAGAGATGTGTGAGACAATCTGCAGGACTGCATGAGTGTGTGTGTGTGTGTGTGTGTGTGTGTGTGTGT